ACGTCGAGGCGATATGCACATGCACATGCGCGTCACGTGTGCGAAGGCAGGGCACATCCTGCTTCTCGGTGGGGGGGGGGACCACCGAGACGGCAGGCGCAGAGAAACTTTATCTCGCGATGCCCGCCTCCGAAACCCCCACACCTATTTTGGACTGGGCTTGAACGCGTTTAGGGATGCGCATGCATGCATTTTGTGCGTCGGGCGGATGGATGGATCGGGCTAGGTGCCGAGGGGGTACAAATACAGGGCTGCGAGGCCAGGAGGATTGGACAGGACAGGGGAGAAAGCAGCCGAGGAGCTCGAGTAGATAGATTTCGAAAGTTGTGGAAGCGGACGCGAACGGGGGGGGACGAAATGAAGAGAGGTGTGTGTGGGTGGGTAGGAGTTGTGATGAGGCTGCGCACGCGGATGTTGAGGGGGGATAGGGATGGGGAGGGTTGTGCGAATGTTGTTGGGCAGCATGATGGATGAGCTGCTTTTCGCATTCCATCGTCCATGTTTCAACGTCCCACCTGTCTGATCTCCAGTCCGCCCGCCAGCTTGCCGAGAAGGCGGAGGCAGCAACGCTGCTGGGCCGGTGCGACGTCGGCGGCGGCGGCGGCGGCGGCGGCGCCTAGACTTGTCGCCACATCTTCCTCCAACACCCTTTGCATCGCCTCTTTCTCACCCTTTGACGAGCGCCTGAGCGCCGCCTCAGGATGCATTGGAAGTGGACGCTTGAGCGTGTCCCTGGGCCTCTTGCATGTTGGCGAGGTTGAAAGCGACATTACGTCGATACTGACCGCGCACATCGGGTAGTGAGCATGAGCGGTCAGTGGGGCAGAGACACGGGTCAGCATGGGGTGGCGCACAAGGCGGCAAATGTCGTGCTGTGCTGGTCCCCTCTGCTCTGCTTTTGCTTGCGCACCCCGCATCCGCACACTCACGCCTTCCCACAGCTCTGCAGCGATGGTGATTTCGTGATTGTGGGTGTTGATCTCTGCTACGCTGCGATCCAGCTCTAACAAGGCATCGTTTAGCAGATCCACATTCTTGATGATGCGTTCCAACAGCAGCGTTTGACGTTCTTCCTTTGCGTGTGTGCGCGTGCGTGTGCGTGCGTGTATGCGTTTGCATGTGTGCGGGATGAGCATAGAGAGGAGTGAGCTGATGATCAGATGGCTGTGCAAGTGTAATGACGCAGCGTGCCGTGCCTTGCCACACTCACGTGCGGGTTCTCCATGACGAGCGGCTATGTGAGGATTGGTGTGTGGGGAGTGAGCAAAGGATGAGGAGAAAGCGATCCGCGTACTTGTACTCGAGGGTGGTTGCTGACTGTGCACACGTGCTTGAAATGCTGACGGGTGAGTGAGTGAGTGAGGGATTAGACTTTCAATCACAAAGTCACGAGTCGAGATCGAGTGAATGGGATGCGATGCGATGGGATGGGATGGGATGCGATGCGATGGCAGGGCTGTTGGCAGGCCAAACAGTTTGAGTGTGACGTGAGTCGTGAGTGTGAGTGTGAGGTCACAGGCAGCACGCAGCACGCAGCACAGGTCAAGTTGCAAGCAACTCTCACACTCACACTATTGCCCCACCACCGCGCACCACACACACGCTACGCTGCACGCGCGTCATGTCAAGTGCCCGCGCCCCAACACGCGTCGGTCGCTGCAACGCACGCACGCACGCACGCGCACGCACGCAACACGTGACTCTTTCCTCCAAAAGCACGCATGCGCACCTGCCTGACTCACCACTCGTGACTCGTGACTGTTGTTGTGCAAACGCGCGATTCGCATCGCATCGCATCGCATCGCATCGCATCGCATCGCATCGACTCATCAGACTGGATCGTTGCAGAGCATACATCCATAGTCTCGAGTCCCGCATTCACGATCTGCAGCGACTCATCTTCCACCATCGTAGCGCTTACAAGTAGCCCATCGGTTGACATTGACACTTGCCGCTGCCACTGCCACTGCCACTGCCACTGCCACTGCCAACACCAAACGTCGGTTTGTCACCCGGAATAGAAACACCACCACTCTCAGCGCCAACTTTTTCTCCCCCCGTCGTCCTCCTCAACATGATCGATCTTTGGCGTGAGTGTGGGTGGGGGGGTTTGTTGGGGCGACACAAACGAGCGCCCGCTGGCATCCGCCCCCCTTTCTCGTGTCCCGCGCTGACTGACCCTTGCCCCCTCTCTCGCAGAGATCCAAGCGGACAAGGGCGGAGATCCTGAAGTGGTGCGAGCATCTCAAGCCAAGAGGGGAGCCGCACCCGAGCTGGTAGATGAGGTGGTGGGGCTGTACAAGGAGTGGGTAGCAGCCGATCATGCGGTCAACATGGCTCAACGAGATGTCAATGCCATTCAAAAGGAGATTACGTCGAAGAAAAAGGCAAAAGAGGATGCGAGCGAGGAGTTGAAGAGAAAGGTGGAAAAGGATAAGGAGGCGGCTAGACTTAGACCTTTGGCCATCGAGAAGGAGAGGTTGCTCAAATCGGCTGCCAACAAGATTGGAAACATTGTCGGTGATATGGTCCCCGTCAGCCAGACAGAGGTGGGTTGAACAGCGCTATTTGCGAACAGCAACTCTTTCGCAGCGCAGCGCAGCGCCGCGCTCACTCCTGCATCGTACCGCTTGGCAGGACGATAACAAGGTGCTGCGCACTTGGCACCCGGATGGTCCCAACGCCCAAGTCCAAAAAAAGAGGTGCATTTCGCGTTCTTCTGCGCCTACAGCGCACTCCATTCTCACGCTACGCCACCCCTTGCTCCTTGACAGCGACATCATCTCTCATCACGAAGTCATGCTTCGTCTGCAAGCCTTTGATACGGACAGGGGAGCCAAGATTTCAGGTCATCGAGGTTTCTTCTTGACCAACGACGGCGTGGATCTCAACCAAGCCCTAATCAATTACGGATTGGATTTCTTGAGGAAAAAGGGTTACATCAAGATGATGACGCCGTTTTTGATGAGAAAGGATGTGATGAGCAAGACTGCTCAGTTGGAGGATTTTGATGAGGAACTGTACAAGGTGAGCGCGGGTGGGCGGGCGCGAGGTCGGATAGGCGCGGATGTGGAGGCAAACTTGCCCGGCCCCTCTTGCTCTGATCGCTCACCCCTTCCTACTGCTCTGCTTCGCCTGACAGGTCACGGGCGATGAGGATGACAAGTACCTGATCGCCACCTCGGAGCAACCCATCAGCGCTTTTCATTCTGGCGAGCTCTTTGACAAGCCAGACACGCAGCTGCCGCTCAAATACGCTGGCTACTCTACATGCTTCAGAAAGGAAGCAGGCAAGCACGGCAAAGATACGTGGGGCATCTTTAGGGTGCACCAATTCGAAAAGATTGAGCAGGTGAGGTGGTGAATCTTTTTGCAGCGCAAAGCATCGTTGCGCGCGATGCTGATCTCGTCTCCGTCTTGCCCACTGCGTGCAGTTTTGCATCACCGACCCTGCTTCTTCTTGGGACATGCTAGACGCTATGCTGGCCAATTCGGAGGAGTTCTATCAATCCCTCGGACTACCTTATCAAGTCGTCGCGATCGTCTCGGGGGCCTTGAACAATGCTGCAGCAGCAAAGTACGATTTGGAAGCTTGGTTCCCTTTCCAAGGCGAATACAAGGAATTGGTCTCTTGCTCCAACTGCACAGACTACCGTGAGTCGCCTTCGCTTCCGCTTCAAACGATGATGACGCAGTGGAGGCTAAAGGCATGGCACGCATTCTGCACTACTGCTGCCTATCGCCATCGACAGAGTCTCGCAGCTTGGAAGTGCAGTGCGGAACAAAGAGGCAGGGTGATACGAGGAGGACATTTGTGCACATGCTCAAGTGAGTTGTCAGCCCTTTTTTTTTGCTTTCTCAAGAGGGGCGGTCCGAGCTGAAGATGAACAAGTGTTGCTGACGCATCTGCGAACCTGTGCTTCTTCACATCTCCCTTTGCTCCGCCGCTCGGCTCGGCTCGGCTCGGCTCGCAGCGGAACGCTCTGCGCAACGGAAAGAGCGCTATGCTGCATCGTGGAGAATTGGCAAACGCCTGAAGGACTGCAAATTCCTCCGCCTCTTCGACGTTATATGCAAGATCGAGAATTCTTGCCCTACACGCGCGTGAGTCTTGCGTGCGGACGATTGCGTATTCTTTTCGGGGGCCCGTCGATGTGCCTTTGAGAGGGGGTACTGATCAGGGAAATTTTTCCCTCCGTCTCCGTGCTGGTGACCGACGACGCGAGCAGGAATTGCCAAAAGGCACTACCAGCTCCAAGAGAAAGTAGGCGAACAAAGGGGGGAGCAATGGCAAGAAGAGTAAATTTTGCGGAGAAAAGGTTTCCATTAGAAATGGGATGAATCTTTTGGGCTGTCTGGATCGCACTCCCTCTGCTTTTACGCAGAATGCGTTGGGGGGGAGGCGTGAGTGTGAGCCAGCACAGCGAGTTGTGGGCGATGTTGTATCTTGCAAGAAGCTGGCGAGAGGGCGGGGGCATGGATGCGGGTGTTGGTGCGGTCGTGTGAAAGGCGAATGTGGCTTGTGGCTGATGTGTAAGGGCAGCTACGGTACATGGATGAGCGGCAAGGGACCGGTGGCAGAGGCTAAGGGAGCGCAGGCAAGCAAGTTCTTGGGACGCCAACATAGCATCTTGGAAGGAAGCAAGGAACAGTCTGCGGGGTATGCGGGGCGCGGGCGCGGGCGCTGGGGCATGTGATGGTGGTGGAGCATGCATGTGGAAGATGAGCTGGCGGGCCAATGCGAGCGCGACGTGTAAAGTGCTAGGGGTTGCTTGCGATGGAAAGAAGTCACGAGTAGCGCGTGACGAACAGGCGCGAGCAAGAGCGGAACGAGCTGCGTCGGTCAGTGAAGCGCAGGCACTGTCTTTTCTCCACCCTGCTTGCTAGGCTTCGCGTCATCATTTGCATATGCACTCGAGAGTGCACCACAAGTTGTTCTGATGCAGTCTTGGCGCTGTGTTGCATATGTACAAAGCAGAGGGGTTGAGGTAAGAATGGCTGAGGTTGCTTGGCTGAGAGGCAGTCAATCGAGTCAATTCAGTCAGTCTATTCAGTCAATCGAGTCAATCGAGTCAATTCAGTCAGTCAGTTCAGTCAATCGAGTCAATACGACCCCAAACTTCGTCACTCGACCTTACCTTGAGCACTCAACTCCAAGACGAGGGAGAAGGATGCCGGATGCCTTGCGATTTGGGAGATGGGGCTGAGCGATACGGCGGTTGGTCTGTTCGGGTCTGGTCTGCGCGCCTGCTGCGCTCAGTGCCAAGCAGTCAAAGCCCCCCATTGATCTTTCCACAGCAACCTTCCCTCTGCAGGGCACAAGGCTGTGTATCGTTTTCCCATACTAGGACACCATCATCTTGCAAGCAATCCCCCCAGATTGTCGTTCTGCTATGCCGCTGCTCAATGCTCAACCTCAGCTCAATGATCCATCCGGAAATCATCTCTTGCGCGGAGCTACGATTACAGGTGATGCGAATGTGGGGGTGTGGTGGGGTGCGTGCTTCGATGCTGTTGAGGATGTGCATGATACTTTGAGAACAGGTGACTCTGGGTGGGAAAATGGGACTTGAAGGCGAACGTACGAGATGCTTAGCGTGCAGGAAAGGGCTGCTAGGGATGCAAGCGGGCGGGCGTTTGAATGATGCAGGCAGAGGAGAGGGAGGGGGGGTGCGCCTTAGGTGTCTCGGATGGATGAGAGTAATGCGAGCACCATCCCGGTGAGATGCGTGGATCCTTTGGCATGATCACTTCTCGTTGGCAAAGACGATGGCTTGACGAAGTCTTGGCTCGCGCTAGGTAAAGAGGGTTTGCATGACGTGCTCAACAACGTCTGCAATCTTCCCAAGCTCTTTTTCGCACTCCGTCTTGCGCTGTAGAGGATCCGTGAACACTGCAAGGTGAAAATCGATCAGCAGCGCCTGTAGCGATCCGCCCTGGACGCGAAGACACATGTTGGCAGCTCTAATGTTTCGATGCAAAACACCGTGTCCGTGAAGCTGCTTGCCGGTCTCGATGAATTTGGCCTTGACCCAATCGCTGATCTCGGCATGCTGCGAGCCGAGTGGGCGGCGGGCCTCATCTGCCTGTGAAAGGAGATGCTTGAGTTGATCAAAGGTCAAAGACGCCAAAGTCTGGCCCACATCTTCGAGCAAGAGCCCGATGATTTTGGGAGGCGAAGATGCTGTCGCAGTCGACGAGCCTTTGCTTGAGCTGGGCGACGCTGTCAAAGGGGGGGTCTCGATCCCGACAGCTAATGGTGGCGGAGTTTTATTGCCCGCAGACGACCCGCTGCTCATGTCTCGGACATGCTCCGGCTGACTTGAGGCTCCTTCCTTTGGCGTTGGGGGCAGACGCAGCAATCCGAAAAGATGCGGCACGTATCTGCCCTGCAGGGCACGCAGGGCACTGTACACCCCAATCTCATGCGAAGCCAAACACTGTTCAGACTCGTCAGCGTCGCGGTGATGCGCCATGGTTGGTGAGTCGTACAACTTTGCCAATAGACGCTCCGTCGAATTTGTGCTGGCAACTATGTTGCTAGCGCTTCGGAAAGAAGCTTTGTGCACGCTGGCAGATGCGCCATCGAATAGAGGCGTATTGTCGATGACGATCTCTGCTGCATCAGAGCACGCGCTGTCCATTGCAAATGCGTCGACGCGTTGCCCTTGATTCGCACTTGACCCTGAAGCATCTCTGCCAGAGGCTCGCTTATTTTGGAGTCGCTGCGAGTACCTGACCCCCGAAGAGCCGACGTTCACGTTTTGCAAACCCGATTGGGCAAGCAACGGTTCGCAGATGTGGATAGATTGACCCATGCGCCTAGTTCGCGCACCCAGACTGTCCATCCGCTGTAGCGCATGGAGTGTAAATGCGGTCAACTGGGACGGCAAGTTGGACCTGGCATCCACATGCAGACTTTGCAGCTGTGGATCGTCGACCATGGCATGGGGCGACGCGATGACTGGTGTCCGTAAGGTGATCTTCATCTTCCCCTCCGGCTCGCCATCAAGGTCTACGACCAGAAGCACCGAACCAGTGAAGATTGCTCCGGTACGTACCCCGGTGTGTGCACAGTAGCTCACGATCTGTGCGAGCAAGCGCTCGTGCGCAGGAGGGCCCTCGCCCTGACTGTTGCGCCTGCCCAAGCCTTCGCGAAGAGCGACACCGGTATTGGCGAGCGCAAGCAGATCTTGCAGAACATTGGCGGGCAGTCGTCGCTTGACCTCTACCACCGCGACAATGCGCGCGTCTTGGCGATTGAGCACCACGAGAGTAGGTTGGAGTCGTTGTGGGCAAGCGAGAAGAGCGCAGAGTGGAGCGTATGGAAGGCAGGAAGTTATGATCAGCTCAGCGCGGCTCGCTTGTACGCGCCCGATCGACGCACAACAGTTCGGGCACAGGGTGTCAGGCTTGTACTCACTTTGGCAGTTCCGGGTGCCCTGGATGGGCTCAAAGTCAAAGAGAGCATAGTCCCATTTTGCTCCTCTTTTCCGCGCTTGGAGGAAGGCGCTTTGCAGGGCCGGATCATTCTCTGGTGGTCGCGTCTTGTTGAGCCAGACCACTTGTTTTAGAGGTGCTGCCGGCGGAGAATCGGGCGCAGCATGCGGGTCATGTTGCGATTCCCGATAAAGGACAGCATTCACCAGACCCTGCGCAATGTCGAGCAAAGGGGAGACGACGTTTACGCAAAGCGTCGCTTGCCCTGCCCAATCGCGTCTTGCCTCGTGAAAGTTTTGGCTCCTGATCTTTGTGCGGACGGAACTTGCACTGTGACTGTGACTGTCATTGCCAGTCAGACTGCCTCGTGCTCGTGCTAAAGCTGCGTTGAAGCGCTCAGCAGCGAAAGAAACGAGATGCAGTGGGGAAGCGCGGATGCCGTCGCCGTCGACGTCGATTTCTAGCGCGGGGATAAAGTGAGAGCTGCAGCTGGCACTGGCACTGGCACTGGCACTGGCACTGGCACTGGCACTGGCACTGGCACTGG